CTTACTAGCTGTGTGACCCTGGGCAAGTCACTTAACCCCAATTGCCTAAAAAAAAAAATAAATAAATAAAGTGCTACAACACATGAGTTATTATGCAAAAAGTAAAATGTACTTAGCCAACCCCCCCAAAGTTTATTTTATGTTCGTACTCATGCCTTTGGTTGTATAAAGGTCTACCCACCCCTTCCCACTGAGGCTTCTCATTCCTTTGAATTACAAAAGATGTGAATGTAAAACCTGATATCACTCCCAGCCAGCCTGCATTTCCACAGGATTATAACAGGCTTTAGACCAAGCTTCTGCCCTGATGATTAGAACCACAATTTCGACTATCTCTCAACACTGCCACTTCCTGTCGAACCACGGCTGTGTCCATCTTTGGCCACGAGCTTAAAATGCATGTCCGTTCTCAGTTGGAGTTGTTTGTCTGGAAGAGAAGCCTTTTTCCTTTGGACCTACTGATGCATTGCAGACATGCTTAATATACTCTCACACTTCCCACATTTCTCTCCTTCCCTCATATTAAAGGGTTTTTCCCTCCTCTTCCCCATATAATCCTCTAGCAATTCAACTTCAGTTCTAACAGAAGGAGGGCTAAGACTTCATGGTTCTGGTTTTAGCAAGTTCTTAGCATCAGAAAAAAAGACATTTGCCTTTTATTCTAATGGCAGCATCTATGTTATCTAATTTTTCAGCTATAAAATGAAGGGGGCATTGGATTGAGATGGACCCCTCTCAGGTCTAAAGGTCTATCATCAAGGTATAAAAACCAGCATTTACAGAATGCTTCATACATGACACACATGCTCTATCATTGATTCCTCACCACAACCTTGGGAGGCAAGTGCTACAGATATCATGATCCTCATTTTACAGATGAAGAAACTGAGGCTCAGGAAGTTGTGCATGTTTGTTTCTGGACGTATTTGAGGAAGGAAGACTGTTCAGTGGATGGCCACCAGGATGCTGAATGGCGTCCAGTCCATGCTATATAAGGACTGGCTTAAGGAACCAGGAATGTTTAACCTAGAGCAGGGGGTCAAACAAACTGGGGGGAGAGAAGACCCATACTAAATCCAGCCCCAGGAGAGCAAAGGGCAAAGGCTAGGAAGAGACAAATTCAGGTTGGATGGAAGCAAAATTGAAATGGTTATCTTGGGAGACAACGTGCTGCCGCCCCTCACTGGAGGACTTTAAGCAAAGGCTGGATGGCTTTCTCAAGTCTGCTGTTGAGAGGATTCTGTTTCAGGTTTAAATCAGATTCTTAGCCATTCTGATGTCAAGGACCACTGTGGTAGCCTGGTAAAAACTATGGACCCCTCTCTCAAAATAAGGTTTTTAAATGCATAAAATAAAAAACTAAGAGTACAAAGGAAACAGATTATATTGAAATCATTTTCAAAATATTTTTTAAGAATCATGTTTACGAACCCAAGTTAAGAACCCCTTATCTAGAGAGCCTCTAAAGTTCCCCCCTAAAGCTGGGGATGGGCCCACAAGAACCCCTAAATTCAAACCCAGGACTCATCTAACCCTCTGCCTCCATAACAATGATCGCGAAAATATGTGAACCTTCATCAGAATAAGAAACTTTCTAAAAATACCAATAATTAATTCACTAGGCCCAATTTGCCAAGATGATGCTGATTGTACTGGGTATCCAATCACTTTAATGTACAGGAACCATCAGAAGAAAATGTGCCCCCAAAGAAGCCAAACGAGTTCTCAGAATTCACAGGAATGTTGTTCGGGACAAAAGAACGTTTCTCGAAATGATTTCAAAATAGGCCACATTAAAAAGTAAAACAAAACAAAGCAAAACACTAAAGATGGCTTCGAAATTACCAGAGAAAAAGACTAAACTAACCCTCCTCCCCCCAAAAAAGAGAAAACATGTGCTAGCAAAATCCAATTTACACCCTTTGTCACTTGTGAAAAGGCCCCGAGATAAGACCAGGTGTGACCCCAATGTCAGAACAGCCTCTCTGTGGTCACTGAAATGTACCACACTCAATGTATTCCCTGGCAATCTGCCCTCACACAGGCTACGTGCCAGTCATTGCTGTTGATAAAGTGAAAAACACCTAGACAAATTGGATTCTCTGCCCTAGGGAAAGTGCTTACCATGTTTGGTTTTTACATCTGAATAATTTTTTCCAAGTGCTAGGTTTGGCTGCTGAGGTGGGAAGCAAAAAGCCGGACAAAAACTGCCCCCCCCCAAGCTCCTTCAACCTTAAGAAAGAAGGGTAGCTTATTCATTCATTAGTAATAGTCAGTGACGTCCACTGCCCTCAGGGTACAGATCCTGCTCTCTTCGAAGGCACAGCATTAAAAGGAACCAATATGAAGCCTCCGCTAACCCAAATGAAGTTCACATTTGGCTTTTGATGTCAAAGGGTTGACGAGGCTGTGATTTAAGGTTGAAACAATGTCTAACCAAAGTACAAAGTGAGCACTGGAAAAGGAAATATGGAATCATGCTCCGTCCCTGTTAAGGATCTGAACTGAACTAGGGCAAGGAAAATCCTGAGAGATGCAATTACTTAACATCCAAGGTACTAGGAGGTGCTGAAATATTCATAGATATTCAAGATTTCCATCTACAAAAGACTTCTTAGGTTTAAAAGGTTCTGTTCACAAATAACAGACAGCATTCTTAAATGGAGGGAGTGGCCTATGTTGAGGTCACCAAATGGGACTGAAAGGTTTCTCAGGCTCTGAATAAGGGCTGTACAAATTGATCTTCACATGATAAATGGGAAGAGAAAAAAAAGAGGCAAAACTGTCCAAAAAGCCACACATATGCTTTAAATGCTAATTAGCATCTAGCAAACTATCAAATAACATCTTTTACATTCCTCACTATAGAACTAGGAACTGATCACTTATCCTTCTTTTAGAGCATTCCATTTCATTGGCATTATAGTGAATCTCCACCTCATGCTTGGAGCAGATCCCAGAAGTGACAGATGCAGTAAGCATGAAGATTTAACGAAAAAAAAAAAAAAAAATTCAATAGCGTTTGGAAAGGCCGTTTGCTAAAAAAGAATCTGATCCGAAACTATATATAAAGGAACAGACATAAACGCTCATTAAAGCCATCAGAATGCAATTTAACAAATGATTATTAAAAATTGACTATCATGAGCAGTATTTCTACAATCAATTAAAATCCAAAAGGCCTTTACTTCAAGCAATCAAAAATGCATACACCCCACAAGAACCCATTCTGAATTTATTAATAAATGTGAGTATCTGACCTTTAAACCACTCTTTAAGAAATCATCTGTAAAAAAACGGCTAGGACAAAATACTTCAGTTAAATGACTATTTGCAATCCGATCAAATTAACTTTTATTTCATTTTATTACTCATATTCCCATAACCACTGGAATCAGGGCCAAAGTCCACAACACACAGCTACAAGTAAGAGAATAAAACCTCTTCCTAAGTCACTTTCTTCTGAAATAGGTCTGTGGATTGTGGAGGATTCAACCCCCCCCCTTCTTAGTTTTATGGTGGATATAGATGAATATGGAATGCAGTCGCTGCAACTGAGCAGACGGTACAAAGCAACTGCCTATACTTAATCATTTCCCCCTCTATTATATTAGATGTTGGTGTCAGGAGAGTGAGTGATCTGTAGGGTGAGGACAATGAAATTCATTCTCAGAGTGCCTAAGATTTCTGCCATTACTGATTTAGAGAAGACAAATGTGGTCTCAGGCATGAAGTCTACACCATAAAAGGATATGATTTTTTTTTATATAACTATCACCCTTAATAAATATCGTCACTCTGTACCAGTGTAAAAGAAAAAGGACAACAAAACTTAATTCTGATAAAAAAAAAATCGTACAGAAAAAAGGGAGTTTTGCCTAATTCTCCTAAGGAGTGAGCAAAGAGAACCTCTCCCAATTTGCTTTCAACTAAGACTTGAGTATTTAACATGCCGGGCACTTCCATACACTACACGAAATGGGCGGCCTACAGTTAAGGCCAAATATAGGGTGTGTGAGTGCTCTACACCAAGATGCACGCAGTACACTCAGCAGGGTTTCCTTTCCCAGGGCAGGACCACAAGGGGCTGAGGCCTGGAAAGGCCCCCTTTTCTTCTGGGGTTCTGCTGAGCCTGTCAGTCTGCTTCCCTGAACAAATTCAAATCACTGAAGCTAGGAAGAGAAATGAGGAGATAGGGAAGGGCAGGAGGAGGACGAAACGGCAAGACATATTAACAGAGGGATGGAGAGAGAAGGGGAAGAAATGAAAGAGGAGGAAGAAGGGAGGAGTGGGGAGAAGAAAGGGAAGGGGAGGAGAAGAGAAAGGAGGAAGGGTTAAAGGGAGAGGGAAGGGAAAGGAAGAGAGATATAGGGAAAGGGCAAAGGGGAAGGGAAGGAAAGGGGGAAAAGGGAAAGGGAGGGCAGGAGGGAAGGAAAGGGGGAGGGGAAAGGGGAGGAAGTAGGGAAAGGAAGAAAGGGGGAGAGGAGGAAGGGAAGGGGGAGGGAAAAGAGAATGGAAGGGAGGAAGGGAAAAGGAAAGGAAGGAAGGGAAGGGGGAGGGGAAAGGGGAAAGGAAGGGAAAGGGGGAGGAAGCAGGGAAGAGGGGAAAGAAAAAGGGAAGGGGAAGGGAGGAGGAAAAAGGGAAGGGGAAAGGAGGCATGGAAGGGGGAAGGGAGGCGGGGGGAGGGGGAAAGGAGGCGGGGTAGGGGGAGGGGAGGGAGGAGAGTCAGGGGGAGGTGGGGAAGGGGGAGAGGGAAGGGGAGTGAGAGGAGCTTCCCCCCTGGCACAGGGGGGACAAAGAGGGGACGGGCAGAAGCGCGGAGCAGGGAAAGGGCCGAGGCAGGCGGGCTGGCCCCCGGTCCCTAGCCCCTAGCCCCCGGCCCCCGCCCGGCTCCCCGGCCGCAGAGCCCCACCTGCGCCCACCCCCCAGCAGCAAGCCCGGCAGCCCCGCCTAGGCCCGGCTGCCAGACCCCGGCCTCCCCCCCTGCCCGCGCGGCTCACCTGCCTAGAGGTGCCCGCGCCAGGAGCCCGAGGCGCCGCCGCCCAAGTCCCGCAAGCTCCGCAGCCGCCGAGCGAGCGTCCAACCGCTGCCGCCTCCCGCCTGGCACTGAGGGCGGCGCGGCGCGCGGGGGAGCGCGCGGCCCGGGGGCGGGGCCGATCGCCGAGAGGGACGCGAGCACCGCCTCCGGCCCCTGGCCCCGCCCCCGGGCCCGCCCAAGGGGAGGGGCGATGGCAGACGGCGCCCGCTCAAGCCCCGCCTCCTCCCCAAGGGCCACCGCCCTAGCCAAGGGTTGCCCTGCCCAGAGGTGGGGGCGGGACAGAACAGCGCCTGCTTTAGCCTCGCCCCTGGATCACGGGGAGGGGTGGCTTCAGGCCCCGCCCTGTCTGCTTCCCCAGGCTCTAGCAAATGATAATGCGCATGCGCTCCGCGTACTCCCGGTCTCTCCTTCCTCCCCCCCAGGGCTAAGCCACGCCCAGCACCATGGAGCTCCGCCCACTCTCCCCAGAAACTCCCTAGGCGGCCTCCTTGCGTTCTTACCGTCTTCTCAGAGCCACGCCCACTGCTTCCATAAAACCCCTCCCACTGAGTCTTTGGCCCCGCCTCCTCAGCCAAGGAGCGGCATGGGGCAGCTGGGAGTGCCCCACCACCTAGACCTACGCCCTGGCTCACATGCCCACCCCGCCCTCCTTTCCTTTCCCAGTCACACCTAGTGCTCTCCAAAGCTCCTCCCCGTTCAGTGGGAAACTAGTAAACCTGGAAAGAACTCGGGGCTCCTAAGTGAGAGGCCTTGAGTTCGAATCCTGCCTTGGTTATTAGAGGCACCTGGATGGTGCAGAGGATAGCACTCTGGACCTACAAGACCAACTGAGTTCAAATGTGACCTCAGGTGCTTTAGGGTGTGACCCTGAGCAAGTCACTTGACCTCTCTCAGCCTCAGTTTCCCCATCTGTAAAATGAGGAAAATGAGCCACCTACCTCCCAAGATGGTACTGAGGGACAAGAGATTTTATTCTTTTTTCCTAAGGCAATAGGGTTTAAGTGACTTGCCCAAGATCACTGTAGCTAGTAGGTATCTAGTGTCTGAGACGTCATTTGAACTCAGGTTCTCCTGACTACAGGGCCAGTGCTCTATTCATTGCCCTATCTAACTGCCCCGACAAAAGAGATTTTTTTAAAATGTTTTATTATTGCTACATATGTAACCTTGGGTAAGTTAATTAAGCCTGTTTTCCCCTCTACATAAAAAATAAACTCTGATTGCTATAGTCTGGTCTGGCGGTGACCAAATTTACCTCTCCGGACCTCAATTTCTTTTTCTGTAAAACAATGGGGCTGGATGAGATGATTTCCCCAGTGTTCTGTCTAGCTCTAAATCTATAGTCTGGACAGCACCACGCTGTCTTGCCATGTGGTAGCCATGGGCAAGGCATCTTTACTTTTCTGCTTCTCCTTCTGCAAATGTAAGGGGGAGCCGACTAGATCAGAGGTGTCAAACTCAGCCAGATTAAAGTGTAATCATTAGTGTGAGAGCTCCTTGAGGTCGGGGGCAGAGGATTCTTTTTTTTTTTTTTTTGGCCTTTCTTTGTATCCTCAGCATTTAGCACAGTGCCTGGCATATTGTATTTGGTTAATAAATACGTGTTGATGGACTGACCCTATGATACTAAGACAAGATGATTTTTAAGGTCTCTTCTAGCTCTGACGTTTAAGAATCCTCTAATGCTATGATTCACCTCTTTGAAGCTAGAAAAGACTAAATGTGGTTTGGTTATGCTCCCTTTTTGCCAGGTCTTCAGAGCAGGGGCACAGTTTCACCTACCAGGCATTGTGGTAAAGAGTGGATTATCGTGCTGGACTGGCAGTCAGGAAAACCTCAGTATGAATCTCACCTAAGATACTGTTTGACCATGTGCAAAAAAACCAAAAAAGCAAAAACACCTTACCATTTTTGAGCCTCAGTTTCCTCATCTGTAAAAGGGGGCAATCCCAAGACCCTACCTCACAGGGTTAGAGTGAGGTTAAGAGGGATGTTACATACAAGGCATTTGGCAAACATTAAGGGGCCTCATAAGAGTCAAGTTATTATTACCAAAGCCTGTTCTGGGCTGGCAGAGCCTGCTAACCCACATCTAATCATTAATTAAAGCAGGGCCTCTTACCCTGCTTTGTGTCATGGTCCGCTTTGGCAGCCAGTCTGGTGAAGTCTATGGAGCCCTTCTCGGAATCATATTTTTAAATGCACAAAATAAAATATTGAGGATCACAAAGGATGCCAATTTATTGAAAAACATTGAAAAAGTTTTGAAAAATTTAATGAATGCTGACTGACTGACATCTCTCCCACTAGATTGTGAGCTCCTTCAGGACGGGAACTGTCTTTTGCCTTTCCTTGTAT